AGAGACAACACAGCTCAGCACACACAGTCCAGAAAGCTCCTGCAGACATTTTTATGTAAGTGGTAGAGGAACCAACCAGAAGAGATATGTTTCTGGACATCATATTAATAAACCAGGATGGACTGCAGAAATCTGTGGCTCTCTGGGCTTTGTATGGGTCCAACCCGGCTACGTAGAACCCAAGCCCACACGGACCTGCATGGACTGAGATAAAAGACTAGAAGCGCTCTTCCCAGGTGGGAGCCAGTATCCTGTTTATTGGCTTGGTATGGGACACCACAGCCTGCAGACACTACCCCGGCAGGAAAGAGGCAAAACCAACCCTGAAGTAGGCTTTTATATCCCAGGAGGGGGGCAGGGAAAGAGGATGGTGGCCAATGGGGTGCCACTGGGGAGGGGTGAGGGGAGGGGCCACCTGTGGGACAGACCACCAAGGGAGGGGGGTATGGGGGAGATACCATGTGCCCAGTACCAACTTCCCATCACCAGTCCAAACAACTACATAAACTATTTAGTGCAATACAAGAGGTCTGGTTAAAGACATGAAGGTTGGGGACAGCCTTGGCTATAGTGATCATGAGATGGTGGAACTCTGGATCCTGCATAGACAAAGCAAAAAAAGTAAAGAGAATCAGAACCGTAAACTTCAGGAGAGCTGAAGTTGGGCCTTTCCAAAGATTTACTTAGGTGAATCCCATGACTTAGAGCTCCAGGAAAGGGGACCCAAGGTGGCTGGCCAATATTCAAGAATAAGTTCCTTCAAACTCAAGACCAGCGTATCCCCATGATCAAGAAATCAGGCAAAGAGGACAGGACAACTGCATGGATGAACAGGGAGCTTTGAGTAAATCTCAAATGAAGGAAAGAAATTTATGGGATGTGGAAAAAGGGACAAGCCACATAGAAGGACTATGGGAATATCATCAGAGTATACAGGAAGATGAGTGGGAAGGCCAAGGCCCACTTGGAATTGAGTCTGTCAGGGGATATCAAGGACATCAAGAAGGGTTTCTACAAGTGCATCAGCAGCAAAAGTAAGATTGGAGAAAATGTAGGACTGATGCTGAATCAGATAGGTGTCCTGGTGACAGAAGACACAGAGAAAATGTAATTACCTTTACTGAGGCCTTCTTTGCCTCTGTCTGTACAGCTGAGGATGACTTTCAGGAGTCCAAGACCCCTGAGGCAAGAGAATAAGGCTGAAGAAAGGAAGATTTCCCACTGGTCATAGAGGATTTTGTTAGAGATAAGCTTGACAGACTTAAAACCCATAAATCCATGAGCCCTGATGGGATGTTCCCAGAAGCGCTAAAGGAGTTGGCAGATACTATTGCTAAGCCACATTCCGTCATCTTTGGAAAATCATGAAGGATGGGAGAGATGCCTGTTGACTGGTGGAAGGACAATGTTACTGCCATCTTCAAAAAGGTCAAGAACAAGGCCCCAGGAAACTAGGATGGGAGGGCAGTCAGCCTCCCATCCATCCCTGGAAAGGTGGAACAGATAATTCTGGAGATCATCACCAAACATGTAGAAAAAAGGAAAGCCACCGGGCATAGTCAGCATTGGTTCATCAAGGGGAAATCACGCTTGACCAATCTGATAGCCTTCTATGATGGCATGATGGATAGACAAGGGGGAAGCAGTGGATGTTTTCCCCTTCAACTTCAGCAAAGTTTTGACACTGTCTCCGATAATATCCATCTAGGTAAGCTCAGGAAATGTGGGTCAGATGAATGGACAGTGATGTGGATCAAGAACTGGCTGAATGGCAAAGCTCAGAGTGTCATGATCAGCAAGGCAGAATCCACCTCGAGGTTTGTAGTCAGTGGTGTTCCTCAGGGATCAATACCGGGTCCAGCCTTATCCAACCTGCTTATCAATGACCTGGACAAAGGTATAGAAGGTACCCTCAGCAGTTTTGCTGCTGATATGAAACTGGGGCAGTGCCTGATACACCTGAAGGCTGTGCTGACATTCAGCAGGACATTGACACCCTGGAGAATTGGGCAGAAGGAAACTGAATGAGGCTCAGCAAGGGCAGGTGTTTGGTGCAGCACCAGGAGAGGAATGGCCCCAGGAGCCAGCACAGGCCGGGGGCTCACCTACCAGAGAGCAGCTCTGGGCAGAAGGGCCTGAGAGGCTTGGATGACAAGTTGGCCATGAGCTGGCAGTGAATCCTTGCGGCCAGGAGGGCCAGTGGGACCCTGGGCTGCCTCAGGAAGAGTGTGGCCAGCAGGCCAAGGGAGGTGACCTGCCCAGCCCTAAGGAGGCCACATCTGGAGTGCTGTGGCCACTTCTGGGCTCCCCAGTACAAGGAAGACAAGGAGCTGCTGGAGAGGGTCTGGCAGAGGCCACAAGGGTGATAAGGGGTCTGGAGTTTCTCTTATGAGGCAAGACTGTGGGAGCTGGGCCTGTTTAGTCTGGTGAAAACTGAGAGGAGTCTCATCAATACATATAAATACATCAAAGGTGAGTGTCAAGAGGATGGTGCTGGACTGTTTTCAGTGGTGCCCAGGAACAAGAGTAATGGCTGTAGATTAAAACACAAGAAGTTCCACCTCAACATGAGGATGAACTTCTTTACACTTAAGGAGGCAGAGAACAGGGAACAGGCTGCCTGGGGAGGTCACGTAGTCTCCCTCTCTGGAGACATTCAAAACTCACCTGGATGAGTTCCTGTGTCACCTGTTCCATATCACCCTGCCTTGGCAGGGGAGTTGGACTAGATCCCTAGAAGTATCTTCCAACCCTAACAATTCTACAATTCTGTAATTTTGTTATTTCCTAGGCATGTGTGAGAGGATCTCAAGCTTGATTACCTAATGGAATTAGGAAAAAAATTAGCTCCCTCAAATCCAAAATTCTCATACTGCATTCAGAAACTTTCCAAACTTTCTCTGATAAGAATGAAAATGTGATAGTGAGCATTGATATCCATATCAAGCTGTTCCTTCCAAAAGACCCATTTTTCTTTATAGAGAGAAGAATTAGCTAAATGAAATCAAATACAGCTACTTCTGTGACAGAGTGCAACAAATGTGCAACTCTACACAATAGTTTAGGATAGGCAATAAAGAAGGATATTATGCTCAGCTGAAAAAGTCCTCTCTGATTCATGAATATAGTTAAGTTGTTTTCCTTTTATGTAGCCTTGGTTTCCCTATCCAAGCAGCTGGTGCATGATAGTGAAATTCTGCCTTCACTTTTAATCACAAAGGCACTTTAGTTTCAATCAGAAATGCACTTTATTTTTTTCAACCAAAAATAAGAAAGCATTGACATTTTCAAAATGCAGTGTTTTTCTCACAAAAAGGTTGTTTAATAATATACTTTGTTGTTAGAGCACTTTCATTTTTTTAAGTGTTTCTAAGAAACTGTTTTAATTTTAGTTTAGGATGCAAGAACATATAAATCTGCAGCCATGGTGGTGCTCAGGGTGAGGTCTGGTACAGGAAGCACCTGCTTTTAGCAGAAGTTCAAGCTGGAGATGAAAAAGTAAAGATCACCCTGGCTTTTAGCATCTTTTATCCAATCATAGACCAGACTCTTCTTAGCCGATGTTAATAATTATTATTTAAGCATGACAACCTCAGATAATTTTGCTTCCTTGCAGTAAATCTTCCTTGGATCTTGTGATACAGCTGCTCCTGTATCTGGGTCGTTATTCATTGTTATACAGCATAATGCCACTGAAGGATTAAGATGATATTAGCAAATGCATTATGAAGCCACAAGTAATCAAGCTTAATGTAGAGTGAGATTTGGAAGTAGAAAATATTCAGACTAAGATGTTAGCAGTGTGTTATGGAAATGGTTTAATCTCTGGTTATAAGTAGCTAATATATGCTGAATTTTAACATCAGGGTGCAACTTCGATTAGAATCTTCTAAATACATAATCCCCATAGCAATCCTACTAAAAAATGGGAGCTTAATTGTCGCCTTACAGTCTAGTACCTTTCACCTTCACATAATGCTACCATGATGGCTTTTCAAAAACAGCAAGAAGGAGAAGAAGAAAGAGAGAAGAAAACCAACCAGAAGAATTTGTCGGCAAGACACTTTAACATCCGTTTCAAAAGTCATAGATTACAATTTAAAATGGAAGTCCCCTTTTGAACAAAGAAGGAAAGGTTATGAGAAAATACGGTTTGAAATTATTGATGTGTAAAGCCATATGTGATTGCATCTGTCCTATAGCTCCCCCAAATGCACCAAATGGATATTGCTGAAACCTCATGGAAATAAGAGCAAGAGATTTGACTTGCTTTGAGTAATGACAGTGATTGTCATTACTGCTTAGAATGCTGGTTGATGTGTCTCAAATGGAATATCTGCTTTTCTCACACAAGCCGACTTTAGACTGTGTGTCAGAGGCACAGTATGTGTTATGCCCAGATAACCCTTGAAACATGTAACAGTCATGCAAATTATAATTCTAGAAAAAGAAATAAAGTAAATTGACCATTGATAGCTCTTTTTCTTCCTTTATCCTGTGCTCTTATATAAGCATCCAAGTGTAATGATTGTGAACTCAAAGAATTTCTGTTTCAATGCACTTTAGCTTTGCAGGCAATGAAGTTAGTGGGTTCAGCTTTAGTTCTTTATGGGGTTTTGTGTTGTTTTGATGTATTTTTTTTCCCCAGGAAAGGTCACTTAAAAATGGTGCAGTGATTATCTGTTTGCTAGCATCAAAGTTTCTGTCTTTGCAGATGTTTACTCAATGTTACACCAGAGCAGGAAGCAACCGGCCAAAAACACTGAAGCAGTAAACAAAAGCTTTAACTTGCCTAGAACAGCACTGAAGCACACGAGACAATACAGTTATTATTGCAAACATGCTCCCACCTTGGTAAGATATTGTTAATCACAGCAAATCCACTTTTGCAATTTACATGTTGGTCTTGTCAGAAAAAAAAAAAAAAGCTCAATATAACTTCCCACCCCCACTTCAAGGCCTTTTTGGCATCAAACTAATCAGCCCTTTTATTAAATTACCTTCTCTGGGATTCTCAGAGAAATATCTTGTGCTTCCTTCATACAGTTTTTCACAGTCAGGGTGCTGATGGCACTCAGAAACCTCTTGCTGTCTTTAGAGATTATTCTTCTTTCTTGATTCTGTATGTCAGAATTGATTCTCAAATATATTTATCTACATTTTGTTAATTGTAATTTAAAATCGTATTCTAAAGGGTATACATTTAGACTATAGTAATTTTGAAGGCGAGCAGTTATTTCATCGGGTTGTCACTCCTTCCAGAAATCAAACCCTCCCTGTCATATATAAATAGATTGCTTGATATACATGCAATATCCTGTCGGTGTCATGCACTCTTTTCTTTAATCTGACTGACATAGCACATAATAAAATGCTCACTTCAATATATGTCTGTTGCATTTTGCCTAATTCTGGGCTTAGTTTAATATTAGTCATGAATATTTCCTACAACTGGATATGAATTTGAATATATAAAAGGCACATTTTATGTTCATGCTGCTGCACTTGCTTCTTCCATATATTTTATTGCTTTCCTTCCTTGTGATGAATTAAGCCATCTGAAGAAAAGAAGAAGTGGAAGCAACAGGGACATTGAGCCCGTTATCTTTATCCACAAGCCAGGTGTAGGATGTGAGAGAGAGAATTGCGTTCTTTGCACTTTATTTTCCATAAGTAACTCACAGCAGTGAGCTGGAGGGAGCCACATTCTCCAGTGGCCATGGCAAGAGGAAATACAAAATTCCAGCTTATTAAATCTCAGACTTTTTTCATATAAAAGTACTTGATCGCACTATATCAGCAATTTTATTCCATATAATTTATACGGAGGCAGAAATTGGATCGACATTTTGTTTCACTTCTGTTCTGCTGCACATCTAAAGAAATATCTTCCTTGGGTAAAAAGCTGTTTTTGATCAGTGTCCCTGGATGCTTAGGTGTTTGTCTGGGTTTCTTTATAAGTGGAAATTACTATAATGAATAAAAAAATGTTGTGACTTTTTCAATATTCCTGCCAGGAAACATATCCAGATTTCCTTTAACAAGATGCAGTTCTGGATAACTAGTGAGGAAATCTTAATTCTTATATAAAACCTGCATTGAACAATAATTGTTTTTATTGTAATTGAAGAGTCAATGGGGATCCTGAAGATGTCAATTTTATTTCATTTATCTGTTTATGGGTAAGAATTCATTTAACTGGATATCTTAATGAAACTAAAATTATTGAATATATTTTACTTCTGTTACTCGAGTAGATACTTCTGTATCTACTTTTATAGCTGAGAAAGAAGAACTAGACACATTTTTATCAATTTGTGATGTTTTCACCTGTTGATTATTGGTCACCTGAAACACATTGGTTTGGCTATTTGGTGACCTGAAATGTATATGAGCTCAGGTGGTTTTAGCTTCTTGCTTTTTAATGACCAGGAGATTAGTTTTTTGAAAAGAAACCAAAGCAATAACTGTCATTTCTATGCTTCAGCAAGTCAAAAATGTTTCAAATACTATGGCATTTCTGGATTGCTATGCCATCTACCAAGACCTGCATGTAACTTTTTGCTATTAGAAAGTCTATTTCACCATTTGGCAATAGACTGATTTTTTTTTCACAATGCTTGAATTGGAATACAGTTTCAGATTCTTTCAAAATAGCCTGTGTTACCCTGGTTTAATTTTTCATGCAGAAGTACAGTCTATTCTGTCTACATATTGTGTGACCTTGCCTCCCTATGGATAGAAATGATAGAAAAAATGAACCACTGTCTAAAACAGATTAGATGCCAAACCTAGTTAGATCTTGCCTAATCCTATAAAAGTGTGTCAGTTAGGGACTTACTTGACCTACAGAAAAAAAGATCTGAAAACACTATTCTAGCTGGTTACTGATTCAGCTTGATTATACTGCAGCCACAGCTTTATTACAGCAGACAAAGTACGGTCATGCAAATTTAGTCCACTTTCTATCACCCTATGGCATCCACCCAGCACGTTAAAACATACTTTTATTCAACAATGCAACCAACATGAAGCAGATTAATTGCCAGAACAACACAGTGAAATCCAAACAGAAATTACTCCCTAGTTAGATAAGGCTTTTCAAACAGTGGCCCACATTGTTCTTGCTGAGAGATTCTGACATGCTTGAGGAGTTTTATGGCACTAATGATACTATTACAGTTGTTCTGCAAATCTTGAGTTACTTTTTTTCCTATTGTCTTAATACCAAAGACTTTTTATATATAATTATTTTCAACATGTATCTGTCAAGATAATGAAATAAATTTTAGATCATTCTTTCTTCCTTTCTTTCTTTTAGAAGGCAAATGATCAAATGTGTGTGTGCACAGAAAAATAAGGAACAAACTTTGAAGGAAGGTTTCTCTCTCTAGCAGAGTAAACATATTGGATGTTACACACTTGATTCAGTGTTATTTTGGTGAGTGTTCTAACAGCCAAATTAGCTAACCCAAAGGGAACGAAAAAGGTGTTTAGAACTAGTGACAGTACTTCAAAAAATGAGGCTGGGTCAAGCACTATACGAGCACTAAAGCGAGTATGGAGTATAATAAAGCAACTTGTTTTTTTGAATAGCTGGGCACAGTATAGGTAAGCCTATTGTTCCCCAAAGGCTGCTTGCAGTTACTGTTAACGCACTTCTGTGCTTTTACCAGAGCCTTCAGTAGCTGTGACAGTGCTTGCAAATGTGATGCTCATGACAAGTCTGTCTGCTTCTAAAGCATGTGAAGAAAGCCGAACACTTTTAATAATACTAATGGAGAGATTATCTTTAGCTTCTGATTTTTTTTCCTTTTGAAAATAAAAGTGGGAGGTTTGTTTTAACACTCTGCCCTTTTCAGAAAGGTTGTAAGAAGCAATTGAGCCCCCTCTGCAAAAAGCTTCCCTTTTCAAGTTTTCCACTTAATTAAAATACCACATTTTAGCTCACTAGAAGGGAAGGCTTCACCACTACCTTTTAAAGAAATAAAAAAATAAATAATAGTGGCAATCCTCTGTCAGTATAAGAGTGTTTCTGTTAGTTTCTATGCACAAAGGGATAATTATATACTTTTTAAAGTCCCCATTAAAGAGCCAAAAACTGTTCTACAGCTTCTTTATTAAAGATATCTGAATACTGCAGATAACATTAAAGGCTACAAAAGTAGCCAATTAGACTGTATTAATATGCAAATTTACGCAGAAAGGAATGTGTAAAATGTTTTGAGATTATTTAGGAGTGCAAAAGAAAGACTGGACTTATGGGATACAAAATATGCTCTTTTGCACATACAGATGCGCATATGTATGTTGCCTCTGAAGCACTAACAACACTCATTTTTGCTGCTATATTTTACAAAAAGTGCAATAAAAATCTCATGATTGCTTTTTTTTTAAGTATTATAAGTTATCTTTAGAAGAAAGGAATTATTTAAAATTCCAAAATAATAAGGATTTCACAGTGATTCAGTAGATGTGTTATGGATCACATTTTCCAGACATCTCCTAATGCTTTGGTATACTGCTACCCAGTAAAATGCATAACAGACCATGATTGCCCACTCCCTCCTATATAATACCAGTCAATTTGCACTTGTTCTTCCCTGTATTTTGCATTTCTCTGCAATATTTTAACCTTTATGCATGTTCTGTTTCACCAATTATTTAAAATTTACAACAAATTAAATTCAGTCTATCAGATGGAAACCCAAAATTTCCATTTTATTCATGTAACTATGTTGGAAAATAAAAGATAAGGATTTTGTACACTTTTTATAGATTTCCATCAAATTTTGAAAACCAGTTGTGAATGTGTGCCTGTGTCTCTCTGTCTGTGTGTTTATGCTGCTTCTGCGCTCTTGCCATCGAGTTCAGTACGTTGTTCTTTAAAAGTGAGCCCCACTGGGCTCTGTGCTACACTATGCAACATACAATCCAGCACAACTTATCACGCTGTGACAGCTAATATTTAAAAAACACACGCGTATTTTGAGGTTTGATAACTGCTATCAATCTTGATAATGGGTATAGAATCCAAAATTCTGACAGGTACCTAGTGGAAGGAACATCCACTGTGAGCAGCTAATGCTGAAGAAAATGAACAAGAGGCAGATAGTCTGTGTATCTAATTACAGATAAAACAAATAAATAATACAGAAAAAGCAATTATAAGTATCTACTGAGGTTTGCAGATTCAGAAGAGCTATAAGTCTACCAAGGCCACCTAGCTGGCTTTAATTGGACATTTTGTTATTGAAGGGTTTGGGTCCAGCCTTATGGATTTTTTTTTACTGTTATATTTTCAAGACTCCCAGTACAATTCCACACAGCACCTTAGTTTCAAAGAAACTGCCAACAAGGAATAGAGCAAAATGTGTAAATGCAGGGCTTTGATGCTTTGGAAAGGCACTCTTAAGAGAGAGTTAATCAAGTTAGAGTGACCTCCAAAAGCAAAATTGCAGCACAAAGCATAATGGGTAATGCTATGTAAATTGCCGTGTATGCAATCGGGATGTTATTATAGCAAGACCAAAAGGTGCTAGCTAATGACCTCTACATTTGATCTCTGGTTTTCCTAGGGGCTGGCAATGTCTCTGGCTGAGACAATAGCTGCAGCCCGCTGATGAGCATGGAGAAGGGCAGGACACCTGTCTACAGCTGCCTCTGCAGCCTCAGTGGACCAGATCTAGGTGCTGCTAACTGACAATGGGATCACTGCCCCACAAAATCAACAGCACCTTAAACCAAAATGGCAATTAGTATTATTAATATTATTATTGTTATTTACTACTGGGTTACAATGATTAAAAAATTTATATTCTCCTTCCGAATGCGTATGAAGATACATAGGAAGCTTGGATTAAAAAAAAAACCCTAACACTTATTTAGTTTTGGTGGTTTGATTTTAATTCCAAAAATTTTGGGATTAACCAATGACTAATTCAAATAATTTACATCATTTTTCATTGAAACAATTATTCCAGAACTTTGATTTCTTCTGGACATAATGTATTAATTAAGGAAAATAATTAATGTATTGATTAAAAGTGAAAATATTTCTCATTTTGTTTCTTCATTCTTTGAAGAATCCTCTGGATAAAAATTTTTAGGTGGTACAAAATGTTTTACCTTATTTTCTTCCTATTTGTTTGCTTAACCTCTGTTAATTGATAGATTTAGTTTGATATGGATGTTTGACTATACACATATACATGTATATAAATTAGCAGAGATAATTA